CTCTGTTGGTGTAGAGCCCTTGCACCCGGTACCAACTGCGTCTGGCTTCCGCAAGAGATCCTTACCAAGCAGAGCTTTGTAGACTTCCAGGGGAAAAGAAGGAGTTCAAGTTTCAGTGATGGCTGGCTGAAGTCCCTCAGCAAAGGAGTCGCAAGTCTGCAAAATCCTCAGCCAAGCTGTGGGCCTTTTCTCCCCGGCCAAGCTGTAGGCTGTATATCTCCCCGGCCAAGCCGTAGGCTGTATATCTCCCCGGCCAAGCCGTAGAAGACGACGCTTTCTACAGGAGCTCTTGGTTTTATGTCCTGTGCGAAAGGCTTCTATGTGAGAACTGACTCAAAAAGGCTCCTATTCCCTCCAAAACTCAAAAAGGGACGGGACCAGGGAACCTAACTATAATTGACAGGTGGCTTGCCCTATGATTGCAGCCAAAAGAAGCCACCTATCTGCAGAGTCCCTGAAACTTAGGACTATAACAAACATTAAATGCAAAGCAAACAAAATTGGAGCTCCTGGTGCAGTTGTACTTGCACAGATAGATAGAAGTTTTGGGTTGCACAGGGAAGGATTAACACCCCTGCAGTGTCTGTTTTGCTGCCTGTGCCCCTGTTTAGAAGATTTCACTGTTATAGATCAGCCACCAGAGGCTGATGGTTTAACAGATGATTTGGAGAGGATTGTGGGCTTTCCTGGGGCACAAAGTGATGGTTTCTCAAGTTTGGGAAATTATGGTTCCAGCTCAGAAAGTGCAGGGCCTCAAGGGCAGTCAGGGGAGTCATAAGCAGCAACAGCAGATAAAGAATTGGGTGAAGAGCTGAGTGATAAGGTGGGTTCCCATAAGAACCCACTTGTAGGTACGGAGATCAACAAATGTCTTTGTTTACAAATCAGAGCCGAAAATAGATTGCATCATTCAGAGAGATTACGTGGGAAAGGTGTGAAGGAAATTCATGGGAGTCGTAATACTTTCATGGGTGTCTATTAAAGAATTTTGGCTTAGAAGAAACTGTATCAGAGGCTTAGAAGAAACTGTATTCATTCCTGTCTCCAACTCAATGAATTCATGCAGTTTGACACACCTTTCACTGCCAGGGCTCAATGCTATGGAGTTATTGGAGCTTTAGTTTTGCAAGACAATTAGCCTTCTCAGCCCAAGAGTGTTGGTACCTCTCTAAACTACAACTCCTTTGATTCCATAGCATTAAGCAGGAGCCCTTGTAACGGCAGGACTGAAGACAGACAGGTCACAGGTTTGAATCCGGGGAGAGCGTGGATGAGCTCCCCTTGTCAGCTCCATCTCCTCATGCGGGGACATGAGAGAAACCTCCCACAAGGATGGCAAAACATCCTTGGGCAATGTCCTTGCAGACAGCCAATTCTCTCACACCAGAAGAACTTGCAGTTTCTCAAGTCGTTCTTGACACAAAAAAAAGCAGAGCAAATGAGTGCTGGTGCATCACCAGACTACATGCTGGTTGCTGTTGTTGAGAGTGCGGAGAGGAGCAAACCATTGACCACCTGCTGCAATGCACCCTGAGCCCTGCCACATGCACAATGGAAGACCTCCTTGCAGCAACACCAGAAGCACTCCAAGTGGCCAGATACTGGTCAAAGGACATTTAATCAACTACCAAACCCACGCATTTGTATTTTCTCTGTTTGTTTGCTTTGTTCTGTTAGAAATGTAATATAACTGACTGGCTGCCCTGACACGAGAAATAAAAAAAAAAAACAGACTACAACTCCTGTGCTTCCATAGCATTAAGCCATGGCAGTTAAAATGGATTCAAACTGCATTAATTCTACAATGAAGATGTATCCCTGCTTTCCTTTCCTATGGTTTGCATATCCAAATCCCTTTCCAGACAACCCTCCGTGGCTCCTTTTTAAAATGTCTTTACTATAATATTTGGCACCTTGACAGTAACCACTTTGTACTTCTTTACTAAGATATTGATCCCCCCCCCCTTTTTCAACATCAGAAGCCTTCTTTCCCTTTCTTCCTTTCAAAGAAAGTGGCTTCTAATGAGGCCTTATCACTCGTTCAAAGGCAAAGGTGAGCAGAGCTTTCCGCTTTGCGGGGCCAGCCCCCTCCTCCTCCCCAAATTGTCCGGCGAGTGGAGCCGCGCTCTCCGCAGTTTGATCTCTGTCCCTCCGACTGCTTTCCTGGCGAATTGCAATTTGCAAATGTACTTGTAAATTTTAAAAAGGGAGGGAAATTAACCTGGCTTAACCTCTGGTTTAAACGGTTCTCCTGGGGATCCAGAGCACTGACCCGGCTTTGGCGTTTTATGCAAGCGTAGCAAATATAATTTAATCCTATGGTTTTAATGTCTGGGGGCAAGCGTTCAAATCTAATGGAAGGAAAAGAAAGAATGGATTGCTGTGAGTTTTTTCAGGCTGTATGACCATGTTCCAGTAGCATTCTCTCCTGACGTTTATAATATTAATAAAATAATAATACTTTATTTGTACCCCGCTACCATCTCCCCAAGGGACTTGGTGTAGCTTACATGAGGCCGAGCCCACAATACAACAATAAAAACAATAGCAACAGTAATACAAAACAATAAATACACTCATAAACAGAAGATAAGCAAATAAACATTAACAGTAACACGACAATGTTTAAAAACCTATGGCTAGGCCAAATGTAATAATTAAAATGTAAAAATAATGCTGGGTATGACCAGGTGACATATAGCTAGAATAGAACTTTTTGAGAGGGATAAAATGTGCAGACAATCCTAGATCACTAATAAAGTGAGTTTAGGGACATATTGCTAGGAGTTTCCTTATTCTGGGAAGGCACACTGGAACAACCACGTTTTGAGGCTCCTCCTAAAGACTGCCAAAGTTGGGGCATGCCTGATGTCCTTGGGGAGTGAATTCCAGAGTGGAGGGGCCACCACCGAGAAGGCCTTCTCCCTCGTCCCCACATATCATGCCTGCGATGAAGGTGGGAGCGCGAGCAGGGCCTCTCCAGATGATCGAAGAGATCGTGTGGGTTTGTACACAGAGATGCGGTCATGCAGGTGGGTGGGTCCCAAACCATTTAGGGCTTTGTAGGTAAGCACCTGCACCTTGAATTGGGGACCGGAAAATAAACCTGCATCTGTGGCTTATGGCCTGTTCAGAGGTCTGTTGGAAGTGAGGCAAGTGGAGTGTGTGTGTGTGTCTATCTATCTGTCTATCTATCATCTATCTATCTATCTATCTATCTATCTATCTATCTATCTATCTATCTATCTATCTATTTATCTGTGGAAGGTCCAGAGTGGAAGAAAGAACCCTTGCTTTGCACCTCATCTGGGGTACACCTTGCTCAAGCACCCACCAGGAAACCCAACATAGAAATAAAGAGTTTATTGAAAAAGCACACACAGTAAATAGTAAAAAATCCAAATAGGTAAGATAAAAAGAGTCTCAAAAACCCATAGATAAAACTCCAAAGCAAAGGTTAAAACATGAATATTAATCCAAGGAGCAGGGTAAACTCAGGAGCTTGAATAATCCAAAGATGAAGAATAAAACATCCACTTAAGTGATCCAAGAATCAAAGACCAACACATTAGCTTGAGTTCATGGTAAAATCCCCAAGACTTAAAGCAAAACTTGAGCAGGACATGACTTGAAGCGAGAACCAAGGCACGAGATCCTTGCTCTAATTGCTAAGTTGCTTGATCTAAAAAAAAACAAAAGCAGTTTTCCCCCTTAATCATAGAATCATAGAATCAAAGAGTTGGAAGAGACCTCATGGGCCATCCAGGCCAACCCCCTGTCCCAGCGCCTGCCTCTCGGCGCTCCCCCAAGAGGCAGGAATGTTGCATTCAAATCACCCCTGACAGATGGCCATCCAGCCTCTGTTTAAAGGCCTCCAAAGAAGGAGCCTCCACCACACTCCAGGCAGAGAGTTCCACTGCTGAACGGCTCTCACAGTCAGGAAGTTCTTCCTCATGTTCAGATGGAATCTCCTCTCTTGTAGTTTGAAGCCATTGTTCCATTGCGTCCTAGTCTCCAGGGAAGCAGAAACCAAGCTTGCTCCCTCCTCCCTGTGGCTTCCTCTCACATATTTATACATGGCTATCATATCTCCTCTCAGCCTTCTCTTCTTCAGGCTAAACATGCCCAGCTCCTTAAGCCGCTCCTCATAGGGCTTGTTCTCCAGACCCTTGATCATTTTATTCGCCCTCCTCTGGACACATTCCAGCTTGTCAATATCTCTCCTGAATTGTAGTGTATTGTTAGGTCATTCTCCTAACAGGAGAAAATAGCTTTTGTCCCCGCTTTTGTCGTTTTACTGTACCCAAATGCTGGTTCCATCTTATTTCAATTTGTATCAGTCTTGATCCAACCTTTTAATTCTTCTGACCCATTGCTTTCCTCATGCCCTAACAAATAAACATGAAGAGCAGGCAGGATTTTTTTCTGTTAATATTGATGTGTTGTTAGGTAATTCCAGGCTTATATTGCCATTACTGCTATTTTTTTTTATCATGTTGTGACTCTCTATGTTTTGATGTTGTTGTTTGGAAACTGCCCTGAGTTCCCCAGGGAGATAGAGCAGTATATAAATAAAGTTTTATTATTATATTTTATTTTATTCATAGTTTCCAGACCTTTGATCATTTTGGTCACCCTTCTCTGGACACATTTCCATCTTGTCCGTCTCCTTGAATTGCAGAACTGGACACAGAATTCAGTCCAGATGAGGGTGGCCTTTTGCAGCTGACAGATGGTAATTTTGTCAGTGCCGACTGTGTTTAAGTGCAGGCCAAGGTCTTTGTTATTATTTTCATTATGTGGACTTTATAATAGCCACAAGGGGAAATCACTAAAGAAGATATCAGGGTAGATTTTATGAGATATGGGACTCACAGTGAGTGGTGTCAGAAGAAATGGGTGGTGGGTTTACGGGAGGGAAAAGACTGGACAGAAGAGTGTTTTATCTCTGACCCAGATGAAAGCACCCCTCCTTGATTTCCCCTTCTTCTTTCCCACAGGGCTCTGGGATGCCCAGCGGGGTCTCTACTCCTCCAATGTCCACCCCGGTCACTGGGCACAAGCGCATGGTCATCCCAAACCAGCCTCCTCTGACGGCCACCAAGAAATCAGCCTCCAAGCCTGGATCTCAGCCCTCTCCCATTCCGGTGACACCCATCGGCACCCTGAAACCTCAGCCGATTCCAGCGCCGTACACAACCGCCTCAACCCCGACCCGCCCGGCGTTCAACATCCAAGTGAAGTCAGCTCAGCCCACCCCCCATTTCCAACCGCCGGCCACCCAGTACAGCGGGGTGCCCCCCAGCCAGGTGCCTCAGCCATCTTATTCCATGGGGACCGCATCACGGGGGCTTGATTATGGTTACATGCCCCAACCAGAACCAAGTTATGCTTATGCCCCGCCGCAGCCTCGCTTCCAAGAACCGGCTTATCCTGGAGGTCCGGGTTATGGAGGGAGGAATGGTGCTGAGTCTGTCTCTGTGCCGCAAAGCTCCTGGAAGCCTGAGCCAGCTTATGTGCCTCCTAGTTCTGCTGCACAGCATCCTGTTGGGCAGTACCCATCATCCACCACCAAGAAGAGCTACAGCGCTGAACCTGCCCCAGTGATTCAACGTCCCCAGTTGCAACCAAAGGTAAGAAGCGAAGTATGTGTCTTCTCACATCTGCAGGAAGTGGGTGGAAGCTTTCAGGCCTGGTCTTGTTTGCATCCTTCTTAGCTTTAAGAATGTCATGTTATTTGGTAATGTAAACATGTTGTTTTCCACCAAGAATTAATCATTTGTCTCTGGTCATTGACAGTTCTCATCAGCAACTTTTAAATACAGTCCAGCAGTTCAGTAATTTTCCAGGCCTCAGTCTTCCTCCTTAGCTTTAAGAATGTCATGTTATTTGATAATGTAGACATGTTGTTTTCCACCAAGAATTAATCATTTGTTTCTAATCATCGAAAGTTCTCATCAGCAACTTTTAAATACAGTCCAGCAGTTCAGTAATTTTCCAGGCCTCAGTCTTCCTCCTTAGCTTTAAGAATGTCATGTTATTTGGTAATGTAAACATGTTGTTTTCCACCAAGAATTAATCATTTGTTTCTGGTCATTGACAGTTCTCATCAGCAACTTTTAAATACAGTCCAGCAGTTCAGTAATTTTCCAGACTTCAGTCTTCTTAGGGTGGTATCTTTACACTATATAGATCCCAAACCTTCACCTTTCACGAAATTTCATTCAAACCATACATCATTTTTATGGCACATGGACATTATTGGATGGTGTGTAACCCTTGCTGCTGTCCTCCATATCACACTTGAAGAAACAAGACTTAGACAGTTGGGCAACAAACAGGCATTTTGACATGCACTCAATATATTGCACGACTGTAGAAAAGTATACCTCGTCCTGCATGGAGTTATGGTTGTGTCTATCCCAAAGAATGAATGCAACTTGACACCACTTTAACTGCTATGGAATCATTGGAGTTGTAGTTTTACCAGGTTTATAGCTTTCTCTGATACAGAGTGCTGATTTATTTATTTATTGTTTATTTATTTATTTACAATATTTATATTCCGCCCTTCTCACCCCATAGGGGACTCAAGGCGGATCACAATGCACACATACATAGACACACAACATATATAGACAGCGACACATAGGCTATTAAACTTTCCAGCTTCATGAGGGTATGCTTTTAGAATTCCGACCACCAGGGGAGCTGTTGCTTCACCATCCACTCGTGACACCAATGGAGTACTTCCTCATTCTTTTGCACACTGCTGGAAATTTTTATGGCGTCGTAAATTAGTTAAATTAGCCTCCCAGCATAAGCGGTACCTAAATTTCCTACTTGACGGATGCAACAGTCTTTCGGGTTGTAAAGGTTGACAGCAAGCTAGACAAATGGCCGGGAGCTTACTCTGACCCGGGCTGGCTTTGAACTCATGACCTCTTGGTCAGTAGTGATTTTAATGCAGCTGACACCCAACCAGCTGTGCCACAACCCAGTATAGCTTTCTCTGACACAGAATGCTAATGCCTCCTTTCCAAACTACAATTCCCAGGTTTCCATTGTATTCAGATGTGGGAGTAAATTGTCAAACTGTATTCATTCCACAGACTGGATTGTAGCTTTCCAAATTTTGTGTCTCGACATGTGGGTGTGCTGGTTGCACTGTTCAAGCTGCACTATATGAGTCTAGAACAGGCATGGGCAAACTTCGGCCCTCCAGGTGTTTTGGACTTCAACTCCCACAATTCCTAACAGCCTGCCTGGTCTACACTGACCATTCTTTGACTGTAGATCCAACCTGAATTCAGAGAGACTGTATGAGGGTTGAATGAAAAATAATGCCTCCATCTTCATTACTTGGGTTTGGATGGGAACATTTTAATAAATCAAACGAAAAAATAATCCTTAGAATGTGCTCTTTAATTACCACTATTCACTTTTCCACATAATCACCAAACAATTGGATGCATTTCTGCCAACGATGAACCAGTTTTCTGGAAGAAGTCTGTGCACTTTCATTTCAGGCGTCAGCATCCAGGGTACTCAGATCTTCCAATAGCCAAGCAAAGATCTTGGAGTCCTCGTGGACAAGTTAAACATGAGCCAACAATGTGATGTGGCGGCAAAAAAAGCCGATGGGATTTTGGCCTGCATCAACAGGAGCATAGTGTCTAGATCTAAGGAAGTCATGCTCCCCATGCTCTATTCCGCTTTGGTTAGACCACACCTGGAATATTGTGTCCAATTCTGGGCACCACAATTGAAGAGAGATATTGACAAGCTGGAATGTGTCCAGAGGAGGGCAACTAAAATGATCAAGGGTCTGGAGAACAAGCCCTATGAGGAGCGGCTTAAGGAGCTGGGTATGTTTAGCCTGAAGAAGAGAAGGCTGAGAGGAGATATGAGAGCCATGTATAAATATGTGAGAGGAAGCCACAGGGAGGAGGGAGCAAGCTTGTTTACTGCTTCCCTGGAGACTAGGACACAGAGCAATTGTTTCAAATAAAAGAAAGGAGATTCCATCTGAACATGAGGAAGAACTTCCTGACTGTGAGAGCCGTTCAGCAGTGGAACTCTCTGCCCCGGAGTGTGGTGGAGGCTCCTTCTTTGGAAGCTTTTAAACAGAGGCTGGATGGCCATCTGTCAGGGGTGATTTAAATGCAATATTCCTGCTTCTTGGCAGAATGGGGTTGGACTGGATGGCCCATGAGGTCTCTTCCAACTCTTTGATTCTATGATTCTACGAAAGCAATAGTGTGACCCACACATTCCTGAATTTCTCTCTGAGTGATATGACAATCATCCTGAATCAATCTGTCAACCTTTTTGCTTGTGAAACTCGGTGGTTGCTGTCACAGGACATCCAACTCTTAGTTTGTCACGCAAGTCAGATGTTCCCACCTCAACATCTTTAAACTTACTCGCCCAGCGATGCACAGTCCTCACATCAACACAATGACCATAAACAGCTTGCATTCTCCGATGAATCTCCTTTGGGGTGACACCTTCTGCTGTCAAGAATTCAATGACTGCACATTACTTAAGCCACATTATTTATTTATTTATTTATTTATTTATTTATTTATTTACAGCTTTTCTATTCAGCCCTTCTCACCCCACAGGGGACTCAGGGCGGATTACAGTGTACACATATATGGCAAACATTCAATGCCAATTTTTGACATACAAACATATACAGACATAGACAGAGGCTATTTAACTTTTTCTGGCCGCCAGGGGAGCTGTCGCTTTCATCGTCCATCTGCGACGCTGATGAAGCCCTTCCGCATTCCCCGCATGCTTTTTGCTGGAGTGCTTGCTGGAGTCTTTTTTATGGCCTCATAAATTAGTTAATTTAGCCTCCCCACACTTTAAGGTGGTACCTAATTTTCCTACTTGACAGATTCAACTGTCTTTCGGGTTGCAAAGGTCGACAACAGGCTACACAATTGGTTGGAAACCCACTCCAACCCGGGCTGGCTTCGAACACATGACCTTTTGGTCAGAGTGATCTTAATGCAGGTGATACTCAGCCAGCTGCACCACAATCCCAGTGCTTTGACCGAGCGACTGCGTAGGGTTCCATACTTCGCACTTTAACAACACAACTGTTCAATGTTAAGGCTTCATGACAAAATGGAACTGTAGAGGAGAGTCTACTGAACAAGCCAGTACCTGCCATCTGTTGAGGAATTACGAAGGTGGAGGCATTACTTTTCATTCAACCCTCATAATGCAGAAGTTCTGCAAGAGGATTAAAGGCTTGAAAGGATGAGAGAGGGACACATCTACCTTTTGGGAACAAAACTCCTGCCTGCTTTGGTCTCACTGTTTTATTTAAGAGGTCGGACAACTCGGCAGGGAAGGCAGGCGCGAGAATGTTATTTCTATCCCGGCAAACATCATCGTTTCCGACGCTCCCTTTGCTTTTCTGACAAGTGGGGAATTTCCATGTTCGCCTTTGCATGTCAGAAACACTTGCGGCTGTCCCCAGCTCACCCCGGAGCCTTTTGGTGATGTGCAAATCTAGAATTTCCATTCCCTCCGTGGCATCCTGAAAAGGCCTGGCGTGTTGCCCGGATGCCACCTGAAATGCCTCCTGCCCGCATGAAGCCTATAAATAGTGGACGGGAGGAAGCATCCCTTTTGCAGGAGTTTGGGTTCTTGCAGAACCAAGGCTCAGACATCTCGCGCACACGAATTCCCCAAAACTGTTCAGTTACTCGAATATAAGCCTAGTTTTTCAGCCCCCTTTTTAGGCTGAAAAGGCTCCCCTCGGCTTATACTTGAGTCAAGGTTATTTAGTATTTTACTCTGTTATTAGTATTCTTTTATTACATTTACTAGCTGTACCCGCCACGCGTTGCTGTGGCCAACCTTTCCTCTTTCTCTCCTTCTTTCCCTCCTTCCTTCACTCCCTCTTTCCTTCCTTCCTTCCTTCCCGTCTTTCCTTCTCTTCTTCCTTTCTTCTCCATCTCTTTCCTTCCTTCCCCCTTTTCTTTCTCTTCCACTGTCTCTCTTTTCTACCTTCTCTCTTTCCTCCTTTCCTTCCCTCCCTCTTTCTCTACATCTTCCCCCCTTCCTTCGCTCCCTTTTTTCTTTCCTAGCATTTGATGGCCTGGCTGTTGTTTGGTGTGGCTTGTTAGTGCCTGGGAGAATCTTTTGTTGAGAGGTGATTAGATGTCCCAGATTGCTTCCTCTCTGTTGTTTTGCTATTGTAATTTTAAAGTGTTTAAATACTCGGAGACAGATTTTGTTCATTTTCATTGTTTCCTCCTTTCTATTGAAATTGTCCACATGCTTCTTGTGGATCTCAATGGCTTCTCTGTGTAGTCTGACATGTGGCACCAACAAGCCACACCAAACAACAGCCAGGCCATCAAATGCTAATCAAGGTGGTCAGTTGAAACATTCACACCTAGCTCCAGCAGACAAGAGTCCTTTGCCCCACCCTGGTCTTTCCACAGATATATAAACCCTTTTTCCTAGTTCCAACAGACCTCACTACCTCTGAGGATGGTTGCCATAGATGCAGGCGAAACGTCAGGAGAGAATGCTTCTAGAACATGGCCATATAGCCCGAAAAAACCTACAACAACCCAGTGATTCCGGCCAAGAAAGCCTTCGA